ACAGCCCGGCAGTCAAGTGTCGGCGCAGTCCAGGGACCTGGTGGACACACCGCTGACGTCCCTCCGGGCACAGGTCGGGTGAGGGAGGGCTGAGAAGTCTCCGTAGCCCAGGAAAGCTTTGTGGAAGGAACGGAACTTCCTTCCGAGCTGCAGGCGCCCAACACGTGGAACAGTGTGCAGTGAGGACGCGTGGCCGGGCGCAGGCTCTGCTCGCGGGCGGAGTGATTTCCCAGGCGGCCTGGCGCGCAGCCGCTCCCTCCCTCCCGGCACCAGGACGGTCCGATGAGTAAGCTCCCGTTCTCCTCCTCCCAGGTGCCGCCCCGTACCTGAAGACCAAGTTTATCTGCGTGACACCGTAAGTGGCTTCCTTTCCCAGTTTGGCCTTCATTTCTAACGTCCCCAGTTCCCCCCAGGGCGGGACGCCGGGGGCGAGTTGCCCTACGAAGGGTTGGAAGGCCCCGGGCTGTGTTTAGTGCTCAAGGCGACCTGGTGTGTTTAAGAAGCTTGAGCTTTTATTTTTCTGTTGGAGACCAGAGTTTGATGGCTTGTGTGTGTGTGTTTTGTTCTTTTTTTCTTTCCTTTCTTCTTTTTTTTTTTTACCCTCCGTGTCTTGTCAACCCGGCCCTCCGCCATCCCGCCGCTCCCCTTGCCTACAGAACGACCTGCAGCAATACCATTGACCTGCCGATGTCCCCCCGCACTTTAGATTCATTGATGCAGTTTGGAAATAATGGTGAAGGTGCTGAGCCCTCATCGGGAGGGCAGTTCGGTGAGTGTTGGGTTGGCAGCCGGCCGGCCGTCCCCGTGAGGGGAGCTGGTCCCCCTTGGGTGACTTCCCGTGTGCGGCGCCGAGAGCTGGTCACGCAGCTGGTGGAAGGGGCCCCAGAGCGGCGCTCCCCACCGGCAACGGGCCGCGCTGCGCGTTTAAGTGTGGTTTCCTAGTAGTCACGTAAAAAACAGTGAAAAGGAACAGGTGAGGTTAACTTTAATATTTTTTATTTAGCCCAATAAGTCCAAACTGCTCTCATGTCACTGTGTAAGAAGAACATGGATGAGGTTTTCTTGCACTGGGTCTTTGCAGCCTGCCGGGTGCTTGTAGCTACAGCCCCTCCCGTGTGGACTAACCCCTGTCCCCCCTCCAGGCTGCAGGCGGCCTGGCCGTCTCTGAACACGCAGAGTTGGGAGTGACTCAGGTCGGAGGGGACCGCGCCCTTCCAGAGGGCAAGACCCTGTAGGGAGGAGGGTGAATCTGGGCTGTCCGACTCTGCCCCACCAGGGCAGAGGTGGCCTGAGCCTCTGTCCCCCAAAGGGTGAGGGGTGTGCCCTCCTGGCCGAAGGGCTCAGGCGGCTGAACCGGCTCCCCCGGTGTGTCCCTCCAGAGTCCCTCACGTTCGACATGGAGCTGACCTCAGAGTGCGCCACCTCCCCCATGTGAGGCGCCGAGGGAGGACCGGAGCTGCCGAGAGAGAGACGACGGAGGCGCCCGCCCGCGCCCCACCCCCACACAGCCACCCCCCAGAGCGTCTGAACCCCCAGCCCTGTGGTTCCAGATGCGTCTGAATCTCCTCCTCCTGCTGCCTCTGAACGATCGGGGCACTTTTTTCAAATAGAGAAATGAATGAATGTGGGTGATACGCTTTTATCTAAATGCAAATAAGAACGCGCTCTCTGAGACTGTGATCAGGGGATGTGGAAGGGGCGGCAGGAGGGAGAAAAAGGAAATGCCTTTTTTTTTTCTTTGCTCCCCTGCCCTCCTTTCTCAGCAGCTCGCTAGACGCTAGACAAGTGCCTCTGTGCGCGGTGTCCCTCCGCCCGGCTCCGAAAGCTCATGCCACAGGCTGCCTCTAGCTGCGAACCCTGGCGTTGCACTTTTAACCTTGCTAATGTCCGAATAAAAGAGAGGACTTGTGAAGCCCCTAGGTTTCTTTCTAAATTAAAAAAATAATAATAATAATTAAAGGGCAAAAAACACTGCATCAGCATAGCCTTTTCTGTATTTAAGAAAACTCAGTTGATAGCCTCCTTGGTGCTTTGGGCATTCGGCTTTCTCCAGGCTGAGACTTTATATGTAAACGCCGGACTGGGCTTCAGATCCAGCCCCTAAAGGACGTCTGCAGCTGTGGCCCGGCCTTCGGGTTTGAATAGGAAGGTTGAAGGAGAACCCAGACATTCTAGGTTTGTTTGTTTTTTTTAATACACAGGGTTTTAATTTTCCCTTTTACGTGTCGGCCTGTTGGTAGGTGAGGCCGGGCAGAGGGGTGCTTACGATCTGTCCCCTCCTCCTCCACTCACGCCCCCGTTTCAGAGCCCAGGTGGTGCTGCGGGTGCCTTGGAAGGAATGGGGTGGCTCTCTCTCCTTCCCCCGGTCCACCCGGCCCCCTCGGGCAGCGTGGCCCCTTGCAGTGTCCAAAGGTCCCTCGCCCTATTTGCTGTAGGACTCCTGGTCTCAGGACTTCCTGGAGTAAGAGGGGGAAAGTCACAGGGTGAACGTGACTCAGACTGTGGGGCCCCGACCAAGGGTCTGGTTGAGCTCAGGGAATGGGGTTCCTATCCCAGTTTTTCAGCGACTGCCCGCAGCACCTGCAAATTACTTCTTCAGGCGGCGAAGTCGGGGGCAAAGGCTCAGCCTGTCCCTGTGTGAGGGAGTGTGCGCCCAGCCTACCCCCGAAACCCCGCCGGTAACTACCGCCTGTCCCTTGGGGCCCCACAGATGGGGCAGAACAGGTCAGCATTACTGTGTCCTTCAGAATGCTTAGGGGCGTGAGGGCTGGTCTTTGATGTGGGGGCCCCTCTGGCCAGAGGCATGGCTGGAGTGGGGGGTCCAGAACCGCTCTGTATCATTGGGTCAGTCTCTGTAGACGCTGTTTGTCGCCCCCAAATCAGCCAGCTGCTGAATTAAGGAGATAAGGACCTTCTCTCCAAGACAGACAGGGGCTGCCTTGGCTGTCCCACCCTCCTGCCCAGCAGTGGCTGGCCCGGGGCTCTCCCCTCGCCAGCAGCACTCTCGTCCATAGTCTTGACTCACGAAGTGAGGGGAGATTCAGAGTGGAGGGGCCCGCGGCAAGGGTCCGGGCGTCTCGGGAGCAGATGCAGCCGAGGCGGGCGCTCAGAGGCAGCATCTGTGTCTGGGTCCAACTCCGACTGATCGCAGTGAAGTTCCGAGAGGAGACTCGGTTTGGCCGCTCTCTTAAAGCACCACGTCCTCCAGAAGCTGCCCGTCTTCTCTCCACTGTCCACCCCCGCCCGGCCCCGGCTCCGGCCCCGGTCCCACTGCTGGGCTCCTGCCGACCGCTTAACCTACTCACACAGTGGTTTGTTTGTAAGCTGCTGTTCTGGCCACTGCATCCAATTCCAGTGTATACTTCATAGTGTAAAAATTTATATTATTGTGGGGTTGTTTTTTTTTTTTTTGTATATTGCTGTATCTACTTTAACTTCCAAAAATAAAAATATATAGGACCTGTCTGACAGCGTGGCAGCTCCGTCTGGCTGGTGGAGGTCCCTCAGACACAGGTCAAGCCTGAGTCCAGGCAGGAGGCGGTGGCCCCCGCCTCCCCGGGGCTGGTCGCCCCAGCCCCTCATTCCTGAGTGGGGCAGCCCTCCCCCACTTATGTCAGTCACCAGCGCCCAGGTGAGGGCCCGCTCACTGGAGGAGCCGGGGCTCACACTCCTTCGCTCAAAGGTGTCAAAGCGGAGACCCCCTTCTCTCTCCTTCTTCCTCCCTCCCTGCTCCCTCCCGGGGCCTCTGCAGCTGGGCCTCCCGTCTGGGGCCCGATAAGCTACCCCAGGCCACCCCCAAAGGCCTGCCCTTGCACAGCGGCTCCATTATCACTCACTCTTCAGTCACTCGGTGGGGACAAACCAAACACCGAACTGGCGGCTGCTCTGGCCCGCAGTCAGCGGCGATAATTCACAGACACCGGCGCCCCCTCGGCTCGCCCGCCCCCTCCCCTGGAGCCGGGTCCCACGGGGCTGATCTGAGCAGCGGTGTGAGATAGGAACCGCCTCCCCCCCGCCCGAGATCGAAGCGAGATTAGTTATGCTCAGGCGGGGCTGGCGGCTGCTTCCCTCCCCGCCCACCCCCAGCGCCCCGCTCTGGGCCCCTGCGCCTCCCGGGGCGAACTGCCAGCCCCTCTTCCCTCCCTTTGAGCTCCGAAATGCTCTCCCCTCCCCCTACGGGGGCCCAGTGACAGCCCCTGGGGCTTGGTGCCAGAGGGGTCCGAATGGGGACCCCATCCTCCAGCTCTCCAGTGACCGTTTCGGAACACAGTGGCAGCGGCAGGGTGCCACCTGCTGGTCTCGGGGAAGAGAGACTGTTGTGCGGCTCTGCGGTGACTGGCCCCCGGAGCAGGGGTGGCGGGGGATGGGGGTGCGAGTCGCCTCGGCCCTGGCCCTCGGCCACTTCGAGATTGTTCATGGTGGCCACAGTTCTTCCCACTCCTCGTGTCCCCTTCCCCTAGTAGTTCCCGCCCCAACCTTTCCCAAGACCTGGGGTCCTAGCCCTTTGGTCTCCTGAGACGCGCCGACAGTGTTGGGGGTGGGGGTGGGGACGGGGTCGGCGGCCTTAAAACCCAGAAAAGGAGCCGCGCGCGGCCGCTCCGGCTACACGTGACAGCGCAGCGCCGCCGCTTCAGGGCAGAAGGGTCAAAGCGCCACCCGGGCTCCCCAACCAGGAGCTTCAAAACAACATTTTATGAAAAAAAAATATTTTATTCAAAAACACTTTTCACAAATGTATGGCCTATGTACAAAGTACAAAAGACCCCCTTCTCATCCCCACCTGCCTCCAGCGGTTTACGCCCAGGGCTCCCGCCCGCCCGCCCGCCCGTCAGCTGCCCCTGGCCGCGGGCCAGGTCGTCTCGGGGCGGAGCCAGCGCGGCTGGAGCCCGGCCCTCTCTGACCACAGCCAGTTATGCAACCGTGCTGAGGCCGCCTCCGCCAGGTCCCACCGCCCCGCCGAGGGAGGCCGAGGTCGCTCTCGCCCCTGCCCCCCCCGCCGCTCCAGGCGTTGCTGCCGTCTCTCGCTGCAGGGTGTTTCCTGAATCGGAGGGGGTCTGCCCTGCCAGTCCTGGGTGCCCTCCACCCACGACGACGCCCAGGACCTCTCTCTTCCCCTCTCGTGTAAGCCAGAGAGGCGGGGAAAGAAGGCTGGGGCCCCGTGGAAGGGAGGGAATATTAGGCGGGACCGGGGCGTAGCGGGAACGTGGGCAACAACATTACGCTGCAGGTGGGGGTTGGGGGGGCGCCGGAAGGCCGTGAAATGACATGCCCAGGGCAGCTTTGACAGGCCCGTCTCAAATGACCCATTTCTGCTGCGTTAGGGACATGGCCATGACCTAGATAAGCTCTCCGTCCACAAAAAGCCTGGAGTCCAGAGTCATTAGATAAAGCATAAAGTACTACTCAGAACTGAACCCCCACCTCCCTCCTGAGGGGAGAAGCAACAGACCAACACGTGTGCGTGAGAACACGCACACGCACGCTTGGGAGGCAAAGCTTCTAAGTTAGGAGTAAAGCTTACAGGCGTGACCTGTCTCTGTCCCCCTTCTTGAATAATTTTGTTCACATAGCTGTTGAATAGAGGAGGGCCCTGGCAGGGCTGGGGGCATGGTGGGGGGCCCTGCCCTGAGTACCCCACACGGCAGAAGCAGCTCCGCTGCTTCTGCAGGAGACAGGCCCAGGGGGCTCTTGGAATAACGTGATCCGAGAAAAAGGTGGCTGTGGCAGTGGCGGCTGCAGCCACACACCCGGGACCTCGAAGGCAAGGCAAGGCGGGCACACCTCTCACGCAGACGCACACACGTGTGCACGCACACGCGTGCTGTCTGCAAAGGCACCAATATGCAGAGCGACGCTAAAATCAACACGAAAACGAACCCCTCACAGGAGTCTTGCTTCCAAAGAGCGGTGTGGGACCCGCACGCTCAGGAGAGCGAGCCTCGGGCGGAGGTGAAGAGCCCGTCCGGCGGGGACAGGCGGGGGTCCAGACTGTCCATCGGGCGGCGGAGCAGCTCCTCCACGTGCCGGGCCACGTCCATGGTCTCGTCCAGGTCGAATTCTCCATCCTGGTCAAGGACCGGGTCGGGGCTGGTAGACAGAGGAGGGCGTCAGAGGGAGCTGGCCCGCCTCACCACCATGAGCTCCCGGAGGCGGCCTCGGGCCCGCGCCCCACGCAGACTGGAGTCTCATGGGGACGAGACCCGCGCCGGCGAGACCGCTGCACCCCGAGCTGAGTGGGTCAGTCCCTGGCTCTCGGAGAGGCACGTTCGTTAGTCTCGAGTCTCCCTGCCTCGCTGAGCGACCACGGGGAGTCCACGTTCCTCGCCCCGTCCTCACCTGGGACACGTGCCGATGGGCCAGCTCTGCCCACCTGCGGCCTGTTCCATCAAATCCTAGCACCTGTCCCTGCACACCTTCCGTGACCTGGGCCTTGCAACCACCCAACTCCAGTCCTGCCAGCCACCTGCACGGCAGGCATTTACCCCGCTTTGCAGAGGAGGAAATGAGGCCTGACCGTGTCCAGAATCTTGCTTGGGGCCACCTGGCTGGCGGGTGGAGGCAGGATTGAAATTCCTGCCTTTGTGACCCCCAAGCCTGTGGTGGTCCCCTGTAGCTTGAGCCTCTCAGGCACCCAAACATCCACCCCAGGCCACCCACAGTCCACAGGAGAATTAATTCTCAACCCTAGAAACCCCACAGAGGAGCAATTAACACCCTGTTCCACCTGACCCCTAAGACCTGCCCGTATCGCAGCCTCACCTGTGCCGAGTGCTTCACCCGCACTCTGCTTCTTGGTCCCCACCCCAATCCCATGAGGCAGGTATTCTTGCTCCCATTGTACAGATGAGAAAACCGAGCACCAGAGAGGCTCCATAATTTTCCCAAGGCCCCACAGCTGGTCAGCACCTCAGCAAGGACCCCGCTATGGGCAGTTTCAAAAAGCTCTGTGCTCTTTGCTGCTTGACCTCACCCTCTCTGCTCCTGGGCACACGGCAGAGCACGGCCTGCGCTGGGGCGGGGTCTCAGACCCAGAGGAGCTCTGTGTTCCCTGGCCCGCCAGCCACCCTGGGGTCCAGCCTCAGGCCGACTGCCCAGTCCCCCCCCGCCCCCCAACCCCAGCAAGCCCCGTAAGAACACGACCTACTTCTGTGGGTTGTACATGTTGTAATGCGCCTGGGGACACACGGCGGGGGAGGGGGCCTGGTCCATGTAGGTGGCGCTGCCCCCAGCAGAGTCTGCGGACGTCACAAACCTGCGGGAGGAGGCAGAGCAGAGCCTCAGCAGCCTTGGGGTGGCAGCTGGTCTGGGGAGGGGCCCCGGGGGCACCTGTGTGTCTTTCTCGGGTGCGGGAGGACCAAGCCCCCACAGGGGTTCCAGCTGCAGGAGTGGGGCCCTGGGGACTGGCCTCATGGCGACCAAGCCCAGTCCCTCCCCAGGGCGGAGCCAGGTTTTAGGGGGAAGGGAGCGCTGGGCCCTTGACTGGGGGGGGGTGGTGGTGAGGGGTGAGGACAGCCAGCGGAGGAGAGAGGCGGCAGGAGACCGGGCCGGACCCCGGACACTTACTCAGGGACCACTTGCTTGATCTGTGGCTTCACGTATCCGTCCATTGCTTTACCTGCCGAGGGGGGACCTGTGATGAGAACCAAAGCGTCCGGGAGCTTGCCGGGGCGTGGAAGCCCACCCCACGGAGTCTTCCTCCTACCCACGTCGCTGAGGGCCACGGCGAGGATGAGATTTCCCGCGGACCCTGAACGAACACCCGCTGGCTGGACCAGCCAGAGGGCTGCCCAGATTCTCACCCGTCCTCTGGCTTCCTTTTCCGGCCCCTGGCTGGGTTCCTCCCCACCCCCACGCCTGCCAAGGATACAGAATCACGACCAAGCAGCAAACCCAACCCATGGGTAGGGGACAGGCTGGAGAAGAAAAACCTGTCCACTGTGCTCCCTACTCGCGGCCTGGGGGCAGGGGACAGGGCGAAGGGCGGGGAGCAGAGACGGCGTGGACGCAGGGGAGCGTCGTGGGCTACCTGTGGGTCAGGGTAACCCGGGCTTCTAACCCCCAGCACTGCAGCCTCGTCTTCCGAGGGCGCAGAAGTGAGAGTCTACTCAGCTTTTTTTTTTTTTTTTTTTTTTGCAGAGAAGAAAGTAGACTCAGAGGTTTCGCTTTTCCTTCTCCTCACTTGTGAGCCCTGACCTCTTCTCCTCATGTGCTTTGCACCAACCCCACGACCGAAGCCCAAGCGGGACTGGCCGCTGGGCTCCTCCTAGGGAGCCCCCGCCGCCCAGCCCGAGCGCGGGTCCTCAGGCTGAGGGGGTCGCGAGCGCCGGCGCGGGACCCACCGATCACGGGAGTGTAGTACTTGGAGAAGACCTCGTCCTTGGGCCGGTCGGGGAACACGTAGATGAGATAGCTCAGGTCCCCCAACCGGTCGGCCAGGGAGCGGATGGAGAAATCCCGCGTGGTGAACGGCTTCAGGTTCCACAGGTTGCGGTCAGCTGGGAAAAGGGACAAGCACGTTCCCGCAGCCTGCCGCCGTCAGGAGGAGGACCGGGGTTGTGGGGGGTTCGGGCGGGCTTGCGGAGACACCCCGGCTTTCACGGCATCCCCGCCCCTCGTGCTGCCTGGCACTAGAACCTGCCATGGGAATGTTCCACCCAGCAAACCAGGCGGGGAGCTGCCGCCAAGGCTGGGTCAGGGCGGAGGAGGGAGAGCACCAAGCTGCTGAGGGACCCGCCCAGGGAGTCTGGGGAGTCTAGGGGCCGGTGATTTTAGGTTCTGCAGAACGGACAGTGATGGAACGGGACTGTGTCTCCTCCCAGACGCTGAGCTCAGGTCCTGTCTTTCCCACGGGGCACCCGCTACGGACGCAGGCCCGACGGAGAATGGGGCAGGGAAACGGGGCCTGCAGCGTGGACGACAGAGGGCACTCACGGGAGTCGAACTTCCAGGCGATGGTGATGCCGCCGATCTCCGAGTCGCTGAACCGCAGCAGGAAGGTCCCGTCGGGCTTGTTGATGAGCAGGTCGTGGGCCTGCTGCTTATTCACGAAGCCCAAGATCGCCCTGGGTGCCGGAGCACAGGGCGTCACTGCCGCTGCCCCCTGAGCCCACAGCCCCCGGCCCCCAACCCCCCACTCCTTACCCGTCATTCCAATGGGGCTTGTGGTGCTTCTTCAGCACCTCCATGACCCCGTCGAACCACTGCCAGAAGGTGTAGTTCCAGCCCGGCAAGTTCTCCTGAGAACCCCAGAAACCCCACGTCAGGGCCGGGGCCCCTGTCCCCACAGGTGGCCCAGGAACTGGCCGGCATCCTCTCGTCCTCGCCCAGACCCTCTCCCGATTCCTCATCCTACTTGTCCCACACTCTGGCCGTCCATACACTGACACGGTCCCCAGCCCCCGTCCTGGGGAACTGGGGGGTCACCTTGCCCCTGGCCTCGTAGACACAGAGGTCCAAGGCGACCCTTCATGGAGTAGGGGGAGGGGGTGTAAAGAATTGTGGGAGCCGGACAAGACCCCCAATAGTCATTCCTGCCCACCCCCTTCATTTCACAGGTGGGTAAACCGAGGCACGGAGAAGGGACGGGGCCTGGCAAACTAGCAAGCAGGGCCAGGGCTAGAACCCAAGGATCAGACTCTCGGCCCTGAGTTCCCTCCTGCTTTCACTGTTACAGCTGCCTGCGTTCCTTGGGGCACCAGCCCCCTCCGTCTCTCCTGCTTGTAAGAGCGGCTGACTTCGGGCAGATCCGTGCCTGTGAGGTGGGGGCGGGGTGGGGGCAGGGCACAGGCGGCCCCAGGCGGGCAGCGGCCGCGGGCCCCTCACCCGGTTGAACTGGGACCAGGACACGGACATGCCGCTGTAGTCCTCCAGGTGGCTGCCGCTGCTGTTGAACAGCTTCTGCGCCAGGAACACGAGGTTCTCCTTGGTGAGGCCTCGGTTGCTCTGCACTTCGGCCTTGAACTTCATGTTGAGCGCCTCGCACAGCTGCGGCCACAGCACCTTGTCAGGCACGGCAAACGGCACCCTGCCCTGAGAGGGACAGGAGGAAAGGGGGAAATTGGGAGACTGGGGGACTAGGAAACAGCTGCACGCTCCCACAGACACACAGCTATGCGAACACCTGGAGACGGACAGGGAGGACTGAGAAAGATCCAGGAAAGAAAACAAACACAAGGGAGAGAAAAGAAGTGGGGGCGGCAGGTGCAGAGGGGAGGGAGAGGGCAGCACAGAGACCCAGGGCAGGGCCACCAGGACGGAGATCAGGGGCCCGAACCACAGGCTGAAGGACGATCGGGGGCCAGGTCCCAACGACCAAGCTCCCAGACCTGGGACAACGACCCTGGGGAACCCCGGGGTGTAGAGATGCGGGTCCCACGGGGGCTCACCGGCTCGGCGAAGGCGTTGTCCCACAGCACGGTGGCGGTGGCATTGTGGTCCTGGCTGCCGTGGACAATGACGACCACGGGAAGGGACAGGGTCTGGAGGAGTCGAGAGGAGGACAGTGGAGGGCGCATGCGAGCGCACGACCACCATCTTGCCGTCGGTGTAGGCAAGACGCCCAACCCCCGGCGCTCACCCACACTCCCAACCACAGGCCCCTCCCAACAAAACCAAAGCAAAAACAAACACAAAAAACACATCTTTCTTCTTGGCCTGTTGCCGAAGTTCTGTGGGCAGGTGCCCGATTATAATATAACCTCACCAACAGGCACCGGCAGAGTGAAAGTAGGTTTGCCCATGGCATCACGGGGCAGCGTGTCTGAGACCGTGGAGGGGAGGACTTGGGGCCTCTCCGGCCTTCCCAAACCGGGCAGCTGGCCTCGGGCAGGGCCCGCCGCTGGGCCGGGTGACCTGCGGGGGGCAGGAGCGGTGGGGGGGTGGGGGGCTCACCTTCACCTGGAACACGAGCTCGTTGCTGCCTACGCTGAACTGAGACTCAAACAGGACCGTGAACTTCTCCTCCGTCACGGACTCCGCACCCCGCCGGTCAGCACGCTTGATCCGCTTTAGGGACTGTCAGGGAGGGCCAGAGGGGGACAGGGAGACAGGGGCTGGTCACAAGGGCTGGGATCCGGACAGACCTCCCCCGGGAGGCGGTCCCTGCCCTCACCATGTTCCGGAAGTGGGCGCTGAGCGTGCCGGTGGCCTGGTGGTACTCCATCACGCAGCAGTTGTTCAGGATCTCGCCGCTGCACTCGCTGCGGGGCAGAGAAGGGACCCCATCTCCACACGGGCCCCAGGCCGGCAGCGTGGGCCTGGCCGCTGACCGGGGCCCGCGGCCTCGGCCCCATCCCCCGAGATCATTCCTCGGTGTGTCTCCGCCCTTATTTTCTCATCAGCCTGAGAATACCCACGGGAGGTCTTTGGGGGCGGGGCCTGGGTCTCCATCACTGGGGTCACCGATGCCTTGGGCATCAAGATTGATCTGAGGGTCTCCGGGGCGGGGGGTGGGGTGGCTTCGCAGCTTCTAGCGCGGTTAAAGGAAAATGATGGCCACAGCCTACAAGGACCCCCGTGACCCCGCTCTGCCCGCCTCCCCGGCCTCACTGCGTTCCTCTTCCCTGCCTCGGGACCACTGAGCCACACTGCCTGGGCTGTTTGCTGGACATGCGGGCTTCCTGCCGACCTCAGGACTCCTGCGATCGCTCTTTCTGTTGCCACAAACACTCTCGCCCTTTCCAGTGTTGTCTCAACTCAACTACCTTCTCGGACAGGCCTCCAGCTGCCCCTGCGGTGAGGAGAGATCTCTCCAGATGTTGTGATACCTGTCTTATTCCCTGCCTACAGTTGATCGCTTTTGGACACTGTCTTATTTTCTTTTTTTTTTTTTAAAGAATTAGTTATTTCTTTAGTTATTTTTTTAAAAGAATAGTTATTTCTTTCTTTAAAGAACAGTTATTTATTTAGGAAGGGTGAGGGAGGGAGAGAAACATCAGCGTGTGAGAGAAATAATCGGCTGCCTCTTGCACACCCCCAGCTGGGGACCTGGGGACCCAGGCATGCGCCCTCACTGGGAATTGAACCAGAGACCTATCGGTTCGCGGGCCAGCACTCAATCCACTGAGTCACACCAGCCAGGGCGACACTGCCGTCTTTTCAAAATTATAGAGGACTGTTTCCCTCCCCGGCCAAAACGTGAGCTCTACGACAGTGAGGACCTCTCCACGCCCTTTCTCCTCCCACCCTCGGATCGCACGGCCGGCCTTCAGCACACGTGACCCAGCCTCCCCCTTCCCACATGCCCTCCCCCCTTCACTCATCCACTGCGACCTCTATGGGCGGCCCTCCCTGACCCCAGGACCGCGGCCCTGGGTCCTCTATCCACACAGGCACCTTCAGGACGAGACATGTTCTCTCTCCACCTGCGCTCGCCGGCTGCTCCCATCCGTCCTGCAGCCTGAAACTGCCACCCTGACCCGCCCACAGCGTGACCCACTTCCACAGTGCCCTACATGTCTCCCTCGTCCCACACCGGCGATGGCGTCTCCTGTCTGCTGCCTGCTCTGCTGGTCAAGTGACTGGTGAGGACAAGGTCCTGTTTGGATTGCACCACGTCCCAGGAGTCAGCACGCCCTACGTACGGCTCCCCAAGCAGTGCAGTCCTTGCTAACCTGTCCTGACCTGGCACAACGGGACAGACAGAAGGCACCGGGCGGACACGAGACCACGTTCGCAAGACCAGGGCCGAAGACGGCAGGGAAGGAGGCCACGCTGTCCCGTCACTGGGACACTCCGAGTGTAGGACAGGTCAGGCCCCCAGACTGCACTTAAACTCGGAGAGGGGCTCGGGTGAGGCAGGACGTGCGTACTTGCGGGTGTTCTCGTTCTTGAGCAGCGACTTGGCCTGCTGCTCGCTGATGATGGTGGCCTTCACCTGGGGCGGGTTCATGTGCACGTTCAGCTTCCCGCCCACCAGCAGCCGCACCGTGGCCGCGAACTTGGTCTGGGTCTTCAGGACCTGCGGGGGCTGCTTCTCGATGATGAAGGTGCTGCAGGGACACGGGAGGCGCGGTCTCAGGGGCGGGGCTCCGGCCCCTCCCAGCGGCAGCGGGGAGGGGCCATACACAGGGCTCAGCGGGTGGAGGAGGAGCGCGGGGCAGACAGAGACCCTGTTCCCAGGGAGGCCACTGAGAGTCGGGGGAGGGCGGGAGGGGAGGGGCGGCAGTGCAATGAACTTGGCAGCGGGAAGGGGCTGCAGGAAACCAGGGCAGCCCCTGTGGCGCTCACAAGGGAAAGGTCAACACCGAGCAGTCACGGCCACCGGGGAGACAAGGATTCAAGCAACAGCCTGCCACGGAGAAAGCACCCCCAGCTTCCCACCCCACCCCCCGCGCCGCCCTGCCGGCTACACTGGGGGCCGAGCGTGGCCGAGGGGCAGCAGTCACCTGGTCACCAGGGCCGAGATGATGTCTGTGATGGTGGCGTTGACCTCAGCCAACATCTCCTCCACGGGGCCGGGGATGGGCAGCTGCTGGCAGAGGTGCTCAGCTCTGCGGATCTGCTGCCGGTTCTGCCAGATGATCTCAGCCAACTTCTCACACCTGCCCACGAGCCCGAGGCCAAAGGGAAAGACCATGGCTTCACCCCGTGCCCCAGGACACGGGTGGAGAGGCTCCCAGCCCGGGGCCAGCCCCCCAAGACCCGGCCGCCCCCCAGTGCACCGAGCAGAGCAAAGCCGCCCTGCCTCTCAGGAACAGAGAGACACACGAGAGAGGCGACTCTGACAGGGACACGACCAGCCCCAGCCTCCCTGTGCACCCCGGCCCTGCTCTACTCCCCAAGTCAGTGAGTCCCGGCCCAGGGAGGGGCAGGCCTGGGGGCACCACGTCTGTGCCAGGAGCCAAACCCACGGGGGGAAGTAAGACCTGCCTCAGGACGGAGCGTGCCACCCGCCCGTGGACACACGGGAGCAGAATACGCAGCAGGGAGCTCCGTTCTGGGGCCCCTGCCCGCCCTGCCCGCCTGGGCGCCCTGCCCGGCCCCCACACCAGGTACCAGGACTGCAGCACGTCCAGGCTGCCCTCAGGGGGCCCTCCGTTCCCGGCCAGCTGCTGCCGCCGCTTCCACTGGATCAGCTCGTCGTCCAGGATGATGGTCTGCTGCTTCCGCAGCAGCTGCAGGGTCTTCTGGTGCTTCTCGGCCAGCTCCTGAGACAGGGACAGCAGGCCCTCTGGGCTCCCAGACCACAGCCCTGCAGGGCCTCAGCGGGGGGCAGGGCCGCCCCTCTCCCCGGCCCGCTCCTCCTCCCAGGCCCCCACAGGCCTCCTGCTCCCCCAGGCCCTGCTGTCTTGCCGGCTCCACCCCTCTCTCAGGTGCCCCGACAGACACTCGGGACGTGGGCCCGAGCCCGCAGGACGGGGACCCAGGCCCCACTCACCCCGCGGTACTGCTGCAGCGTCTGGGCCTCCCGCTGCAGCCAGGCCTCCAGGGACACCTGCTTCTGCTGCAGGGCCGTCTCCCGGCTCAGACGCTCCTGGGGGTTCAGCTGGGCCAGCTGGGCAAACTGAGCTGCAGGAGGGGACGGGACAGCCGCGGCCATGATCTCCCAGCTCCCAGCGCCCAAGACCCTCACGCTGACCTGTGTGACCAGTGGCACCTCAGGGCGCCGGTAGCCCCGGGCGCCCACGGTGAGCCGGCCCCACTCCCTGGGCCCCCGACTCTGGGCGCCCCTCCTGAGCTGGGGAGACAGAAGCTCGTGGGTCCAGCTGAGGAGGACCCCAGCACCCTGACCCACACAGCTGGCTGCCGGCCTTCCTCACGCCACCCTGGGGTCCAGCTCGGTGCCACACTGCCCAGTCCCAGGTCTGCCCCGGCCGTTTCCTGCCTCCGTGGACTCGGGCAAATCACTTCTCTCCCCGGGGCCTCGGGCTCCCCGAGTGCAGAACGGGAGAACCCTGTTTCCGGCCACAGTGGGTTGCCATGGGGATCACAAAGTGGTGACACAGAAAACGCCCGGGAGGCTGCCCAGCCGTGGAAGCTCCGGGTGAGAGTCAGTCCTCGTTGCTCACTGGGCTCCAGGACAGGGGGACAGGGGGACAGGGGACAGGGGGACGGACACAAGCAGCTCTCGGACCCAACCCCACCCGCAAAGCTTCGGCAGGGAAGGGAAGGCCTGTCCCACGGCCCAGGACCACCGCCGGGGGCACAGGACCCGCCCCCAGGGCGGAAGGCAGGGCTGCCTGTGCTGAAGGGGCCCAGCGAGTTGGTCCGGGTTGGTCCCCGCGGGTTCAGCTGCCCGGCAGGAAGAGGACAGAGAAGACAAAGAAGAAAGGGGAGAGATAGAGGGTCTGACAGAGACACAGAGAGGCAGGGAGAGAAAGGGAACCCGGGGCCCACGCAGAAGCAGCACGACTCCCTCAGGACAGGGAGGCGGCTCTCTTCCCACCAGCGTCAGGGAGCGCACCCATGGCAGGGACGGGGGTTTCGGGGGGGCCTAACCACCCTTGTTTAAAAAGTAAGTTACGAGCCCCGACTGGTGTGGTTCAGCAGGTCGGGGTCACCAGTGCGATTCCCTGTCACAGCACTGGCTTGGGTGGCAGGCCCGGGACCCGGCGGGGGGCGCACTGGAGGCCACTGGCCGATGTTTCTCTCTCACACCGAAGTTTCTCCCCCTCTCTTTCTCCCTCCTTTCCCCTTCCTCTAAAAATAAATAAATAAACTCTTTCTAAAAATAAGTGATGAAATGCTTAAGACATCAGGAAGGTAGAAAGAATGACAGAAAGAACACCTGTGAATCCACATCCCAGCTCAAGGAATCGGACATTTCCACAGTGACAGCCACCTGCCCCCACCCTGCAGCCTGCAGGCCCGCCCCTCCCGCCACAGAGAGAACCGCTCTCCTACAAGCCCGGTTGTGGGGGGGATAACGACTTCCCCCTGCCAATAGCCTCTGGGACACCCGGTGTTCTGACTCGGGCTGAGTCAAGAAGACCTGAGCATCAGCATGTCCTGGGCCAGTTCCGGGCAGGCGTTGGAGGGCCATGCCTCACTGCCCGAGGCCCGGCCCCGTGGCCGCACCAGCCGGGACAGGCCGAAGAACTCCAGACGCTGGGAAGGCCGGAACTGCACGAGAATTCGGAAATGCGGCTCCATCCCAGTGCGGGGCCTGAGCGGGAGGAGCGGTGTCCGGCCCAGAGCCCAGCAGAGTGGTCTGACGGCCACCCCAGGGAGCCTGCCCCCACAGGGAGGTGGCGGCGCCCCCGGCACCTGTGCCCAGCCTCCCTGTGCAAGCGGCCCAGTTAGGGGTCCCCTGGCAGGTGGCAGAGCTTCCTGGGATGGACACCAGGGCACATGGGGGTGACAGTCCACCCCACCGCAGGGAGCCGAGCCCCCAGTTGCACCAACAGGTCGATGGTCTGCGTTACTGATGGGAAGGGGCAGCTCAGACTGAACTGCCCGGCACGGTGGGCGCGGACCCAGCCAGAGTCCAGCTCAAACCCACGGGGAGGAGGCCAAAACCCAGGAACGGGACCATGGGGCCGTCTGCCAGCCCACGGCCTGGGGAGGACGGGAGCCGGCGTCTCCGGTTCCCTGAGCTGGGACGGGAGACACCCTCTCTGGGCCACCGTCCACGCCCCGCCTGCGGCGTCCGGGCCACGCGCTGGCCTCGGGGCACAGGACACACTGACCGGCCCGTGAGGGGGAGGCTCAAAGAGGCAAAGGAGAGGAGAACCCCAAAACATTAAATAATCAATTTAAAAAGCAGGGAGAGAGAAACAAAACTGATCTGGGACAAATCAGAGTAGCTACTGAGCAGAGACCCAGACCCAGACCCAGAGTGTTAAATAGGACACTCAGTGTTCAGGGACTGGACACCTTCATCAGAAGGACGACGGCCGGGAGACACACAGAGCGAGACGGCCACCTGCTGTCCCCGCTGTGAACGAGAAAAGCGTGGACACGGACGTGCCGAGCGACGGGGAACCAGAAGGCCAGAGAAGCCCTAGGAACGCCTCGCAGGGCAGCCGTGAGGGCCAGAGGTCGAGAAAGAGATTGCATAATTACTCACGATCATACATGCACATGAACCTGCTCACAAAGCTCCAGAACACATGAAGGACACATTCACTGAAACAACCGGAGAAGCACAGGGACCCACAGAGTGACAGGAGATCTGGGCGCCTCTCTGTCAGCATCTGACGGAGCCATCGGGCTGAGCGTAACTAAACACGCACGGACAGACAGACACCGGTGGGTCCCCACGTGTGGGCCCGGGATGCCGGGGGGGGGGGGGCCTGAGACCCTACGGGAGGCCCACACAGCCAAACTGTGTTCGAAGTCCTAGGACTTTGCCTTTTCCTCTGTTAATCTCTCATAATTATGCACTGGAATTCTCTAGAGGCTGGAAGGCAGGCGATACTACAATTGATAGGAAGGTCTGGCCACATCCTATTCCCCCTGACGTTGCAGAGACCTGTAAAAACGTACAGCAATGCCACCGTGCTCAGTACAGGCTGTTTTGGAAAATACAGGTGTTGTTAGTCTTTTGTTTTTAGATTTTTTGGTATTATGTTAACATAGTAAATATATATAAATATTTATAATATGTTTTATATCATATATAGTATATTATATATGACTATATATATTGACTATATTACACGTGTGTAATATATAACATTCTATAAATATCTAGACTAGAACATACAAGTAATATATCAGCCCTACACTTAAATATAGATTTAAAAATAAGTATTATTGTTGTATTTGTTAACATCATTGGATTTATTACTGCTGCTTTTGGAAGAAACACTGTGGAAAACACATCCTTTTCCAGTCCGCCAGAGACAGTCACCGAGACTGAACACAGGCTGGGCCGCAGAACAAGCCCCAGTCAATTTAAAAGAATCGAGACCATACCGAGCATGCTCTCGGACTCAGTGGAATTCAATCACGAAATGAAAATAAAATCATAATGATAGGACATCTAGAGAAAACTAAGTTTGGACATTAACAATGTCCTTCTAAACGCATGGGTGGAAGCACCAGGAGAGAAAGTAGGAAGCAGCTCACACTGAATGACAGTGACTACACAGCACACACAGAACCACGAGATGCACCTGAAACTTGGCTTCGTGGGAAACTTACGGTTCTGAATGTTTCTATCGGAGAAGAAGAAGAAAGGTCTGAAATCAGTGACCTAAGGTTCCACCCAAAGAGGCAAGAAAGGAGGAGCGAAGGGAAAGGCAGCTGGGCGGCCCTGCTCTCCCTGGGCCTGGGGGGGCGGGTGTGTGCAGCCCAGGTGGGTCTGGGGGGAGGGAGACGGGCCCCCGATTCAAACTCCTCAGCCTGTGCCCGGGCTCACTTCCCGCAGCCGGTTTTTCTGTCCCCACACCCTCGTCACGGCAGTCACGGGCAAACTGCAGGCTGGGGGTCGGGAGAACTTCCCACTGTCACCCTCCTGCCGGCTCCGTCCCCTGGAAGGGAGGCCACAGAGGGCGCATCCCGAGCTCCACCTCCCCCGCCTGGCTCCGCCTCAGGACGCCCAGCTGACCTCTCCCTCTCGTTGGGGAACACTCTGCCCACACTCACTGAGTCCCTCACTCGCTCACTCACTCACTCATTCACTGAGATATTCACTTGACCTCCCACAACTAGGGAGAGAATATTAGCTAACAAAGCACAGGGATTTGATGACACATCTCTGCAACTTTCAAGCAACACAGGCCACGTGTCTTGTTCTCTGTGAACCTCAGTGTGACCGTCTGCAAAGTGGGGATAACACCTCTGTCTACACCCTGGAACTGTTGTAAGGGTTCCACTGAATCACGCATGCACAGGGGCGTAGCCACAGCAGGGGGCCATCCCCGGCGGCCAGTACTCCTCCCAGGCTTTGGGGAAGGTTCCCCGAAACAGACATGGCCCAGTCCCAACCCTGCAGGAGCTCCCACAGTGGCCCTCCCTCCCGCCCCCCGACACCCAGCGCCCCCCAGCAGCGGCCGCACCCTGGATCCGCAGGCTCTCCTGGTACTGGATGATGAAAAACTCCTGGGCCTGCTGCAGCTTCTTCAGCTCGTTCTCCGTGTCCTGCGTGACCAGTCTCAGCTCCTCGAACGTCTGGTTGATCTGCAGGTGTTTCTGGGACATGGCGTCCACCAGGGTCCCGGGCGGGAGAGGCGCCCTGGAGACAGGTCAGAAGTGCGGGCAGCAGTGAGCTGGGCAGTGAGGTGGGAGAGAACCTCACTCGGGCCTGGGGGACGCCAACACGGCAGACCCCAGACTCCGAGTCCAGGGACAGTCCTCTGTCCCACTGGGCGGAGGGGCCAAGAGGGGCAGAGGCGCGGGCGCTGGCAGACCCCGGGGTCTTCACACAGCACAGCAGGAGCTCCTGCTGCAGGGCCGGCCTCCGCCAGGGCGGCCCCAACACGGTCCCTCTAAGTTCTCTCGGAGAGACTGCAGCTCAGCACACCCCGAGAGCTCCTGCGTTTTCCTGCTAACGATGATGATGATGATGATGACCCACCGCCCACATTCTTCCAGCGATCCAGCCCCCGGGGCTGTGCTGGGCGCTGGGACAGAGCGGGGATGGAGGCGAGGTGAGCTCACACCATCTCCGTCCTCTGTCCAGGCCCACCGTGACTGATCTGAGGGAGGGGGGAACAGGGTCACCTCTCACGGGGGTGTCCTGAACACCCCAAAGTGAAGTCACAAGGGACCGGGGAGGCATCGGCGAGGGCTTCGGGGATCCAGACATTTAAGTGACCTGGTCTGAGCTTTTCCCAACCGAGTCTCCAGGGCCTTTCCAATGACCTGTCTCGGGACAAATTCCACACCCCTCTCCGCAGCCCCCTTGCCCTGGCCGAGAGCCGCCGCCGCCCAGCGGGCCGGTCACTGTCCACTCCTTCAACACACAGCACGTGCCTGCCTCAGGGCCTTCGCCGTGGGGGGTCCGTCTCTCTGGAACACTCTGGCCCCACCCCTGCCTCACTCGGGACTCCCACGGGCACCCTTCAGGGCGGCCTCTCTGAGCGCCGAGGGAACACAGCGCCACCCTCCTGCGAGGGCGTCTAGCTCCTGTGCTCACTCCTCGTCTGCTCCGGGCACCGGGATGGGGGGCCTTCCCGGAGCTGGGACCGCGTCTGTCCTGTGCACCCAGAGTCCCCAAGGCCGAGGGCATCAGAGGCTGGGGAAGGCGTGGTTCCCACCCCCACCCTCGGACCGGGACGACGCCTGCACCACACACACGGCTCTGTCGGCTCTGTCGGCTGGAGCCAGAGCCATTCGCACACTTGCAGACAGCTGTGTGGTCGCAGCAGCGAGTCAGGGGACAGCAGGGGGCTCCTGCGGGACCCTCTGTGGCCCGGCTCCTGCTTCCTCTCTGGCCTCCCCCGCCAGGGCTCCCCGCCCGGCTCCCCGCTCCCCAGCTGCTCTGGCTACCTGCAGGTCTCCAAGTGTGCTAAGGTGGCTCCCGCCTTCCTGCCCTCACAAGTAACTCCCGCTCCTCCCCACCCCCGCCCCGCTGACCGCCTGCCCCGGCTGCCCTGGGTGCTTTCCCACTCGTGCCCCAGCACTCAGCCGGCCCACCGCTGGGGAACCTGCCGCCACCTGAATTCCCTTCGGCAGGGACCAGGTCTCCGTGTGCTTCTCCGGTCGCAGCCCAGACCCGGCCACACACACACACACACACACACACACACACGGCAGGACGTCTGGAGATGCTGACTGAACCGGTTCCTGACACCAGCGCCCGCAACAACACGGGCACAGAAAGCAGGGCCCGGGCCCCAGGCACCAGTCCGTGGCCTCACCTGCCCGACGTCCTTTCACGAAGTCCGCCGTGTTTTACTCAGACCCTGCGAGGTCTGCACCCCCGTCCAGGCAGACGGTCACGCCTCTAGGACTCCGAACTCGGGGGATGGGCCCCTGGCCCGCCCCCTGGGCCTCACGCTCTCAGCGTGCCTGCGTTCGCTTTTCCCACCCGGACCCCGCACCAGACAGGCTTTCTTGCTGGCCCGGCCCCACTGCTGAGTGACAGAGCCTTTCCCTGGTGATCTGTACGGCCACCGCCGACTTGGGCAGAGCTTCCAGGTGTGTGTGAGTGTGTGTGTGTGTGTGCGTGTGTGTGAGTGTGCGTGTGGGGTGTTGAGTGAGGGCTTCCTCTTCTGTTTCATTGGTCTGTTGGTCTATCCCTGGCCCATGCAGTATCTCATTTAACCGTCACACTAACCCTGCAAGGAGGTGCTATTCCTGTCCCTACTGATCACTGAAGACACACAGGCTCACAGAAGTCCGGGCACTTGCTCGGGTTCCACGGCTAGGAAGTGGCAGGGCCTGGAGCCAGGGGGTCCCTCTGTACCTGCACATGAAACCGCCCTCACACCTGCGCGTGTCCCTGACTTCTGGGCTGCCCTCCCACTCAGTATTGAGAAGTGGCGGCCGTGCCTGCCCGGGAGGGGCTTCCCGACCCCGCTGCCCAGCGCCGCGGGACACTCACGTTGTTGGCTTCTCGGACCAGCCTCTGCTCGTTGTACAGAATGTGCCGGATGCAGCGCACCAGGTCCATGGGGCAGCGGTCATACGTGTTCTGAAAGGGTCCGAGAGCAGCTACGGGGGCCGTCCTCCGCGCCCACCCTGCCTGTCGCAGGGCTGCGCCCAACCTTCCTCCCCCCAGCCCCTCGCCCCCAGCTTCCCCGGGAAGCCTCGGGAACTCTCGCCAGACACCTCTGTGTCTCCTGGACTTGGCCCCCGCCCCCACCAGATCTTCGCTTGGTTTGCATTGTTAGAGGCTCCCCGTGTACAAAGCACTTCCACTCGACCGTCTCCTATGGCACAGAAACCCTGTCACACGGCAGAAATGACTGTCCCCATTTCAAAGGTGACAAAACTGATGCGCAGAGAGGTTAAGTGCGTATCCACAGACACACCAGTGAGGGAGCAGATGACTCAACACTCTGAGCACCTCGTGCCAAGGTCGAGGTGCTTCCCAGCATGCTCCAGCTCTGGGTTCCCGTCCTGCTCCCCTCTGCACCCCGGGTTTCTCCTGCTTCCTCCCTCTCTGGGGAGAGGCCTTTCGTTTTCCTGGCATCTGCTGCTCATACTGAAGAACGGTTCTTGAAGGAATACTAATGAGTTCTAGTAAATGCTTGACTGGGGTCACCACCCACACCGCTTTCTTGCTTCCACAAAAACTTCCTCTCTCCCCTCTACTCCTCCCCTCCACCCCCCTGGGAAGAAGAAGCTGCATCTGACAGCTAAACCCCCAATCAAGGCTCTTCTGGCCCGCCCCTGCCCCCCAGGTGCACCCCGCCCCTCTCCTGCCCCACTCCAGGAGCTCTCCCGCCCGTCCCAGAGCCCCCAAGAAGGGCGTCTGGGCACCTCACCCCCTCAACTCTAGACTCTCTCAGGCTTCCCTGACTCAGTCTACCCCCCATCCCTTCTGCTCGCCCAGTCCACAGTGCCTTTTTTCAGCCTGTCCCCCGGTCTTGGGAGCAAACCCACCCGACCCCCCTGCTGTGTCACGTGCTAGAGGACTCCCACAGGTCTGATGCAGAAAGAGGGGGTGGGGGAAATCGAAGCACCGAAGAGGTGCCGATCAGCTCGGGGTCAGGCGGTGAGTCAGTGGCCAGGCCAGGAAAAACCCCGGGTGCTGGTGCTGGAGGGAGAAGGCGGCCACCGCCGGCCCCCACACCCACCTGGAGCTGCGTGGCGTAGTGCCCCAGCTTGATCTTCAGTAAGAACCCGTCTTCCCCCACTTGGTGCTCGGCCTTCTTCTGCAGCTCCTGCACCAGGCCCTCCAGGAGCTGGGTGGCCTGGGCTTGGTCCTGGGGATTTTCCGGATCAATGGCATCCCTTGGGGGCAGGGCAAGGGGAGAGAAGCCTGCTGTGGTACCTCCTCGGCCAGAACGTCAGGCGAGGAGAGGGACGTGGAAATCCCAAGGCTCCTCCCTACGGGCACTCCAGAGCCCACAAGACTCATTCCTGGCAACTCCACAGGCAACAGAGTCGAGAAACATCCCCTCTCCCTTTCCCTGTTCCCCTTTCCCAAGAACACGGCCCCTTCCTCACAGAAACGAACACCCAGGGCCCAAACCACACCAAACCACACAAGAAGAGACCTGAGGGCCGAGGGGCCCCGGCTGGCAGGGACCCGCAGGGGCAGACAGGGGCACCTACCACGGCTGGCTCTCGATCCACTGCGCCAAGTAGTGCCGGACCTCGATGGGGAAGTGCTGCCCGTACAGCCCCTGCATCTGGCGCAGTGCATCTCCCTGCAGCTGCTGGGCCTGGATCCAGCCCGCCATGTCCGTTCACCTAGGGCGAGCAGAGGGCTGAGGAGGCGCCTCCCCAGCAGAGGCGAGGGCTGGGCCTGCCCCTGGCCCTGCCGTGCCCACCCATGCCTGGACCGCGGTCAGGCCAGGCCCCTCCCCTCCCACAGACACGCTTTCCTGTGCGGGAAGAAAGATGGTGAGGAGGGGAAGGCGCGCCCTGCCCTCCAACAAGGAACCCGCTGAGGCTTGGGGAGGGGCTCTCTCGAAAGTCAGGTGCCCTCCTCCTCTTCCTCTCCCCTCGCCCCACCGGGGCTTCCCCAGCGGGGGGACAGCTAAAAACTGAAAGAGAAACTGGACTGCGGAGGCCCACAGCCCTCTGAGGAGGGTTGCAAGAATCCCCCTACCCAGCCTGGAGCCCTGAGCACCAATTTCTGGGAAGGGGGGATACTCCAGCCCCAGGTTACGCCACCGACGCTGTCCCGCGGACGGCCGGGGCTCCGCGGGCACGTGGCTAGTGTTGTTGAGCGAGGGCTGGCGAGGCGGAGGCTGTCCTCGGCAGCGGCGCCCCGCGGTCTCCCACCGTCCGGCCCGACAGCGCCCCCTGCCCACCGCGGGCGAGGACGGCGCGCATCCGCGCCGCCGTCCTTCCATCCGTGTCCCTCGTCCCTCGTCCGCGCTGCGCCCGAACTCCCTCTCGGTCGCGGGGACCGTTCCCTGCACCCCGCCCGGCCGTCGGGCTTTGGGTCCCGGGGCGCGGGGCGGGGACTGGGGTCGAGTGTCCCCGCTCCGCGCGCGCCGCCCGGGGACGCGCCGCCCGGCCACCCACCTGGTGGCACCGAGCCGTCCGGCGGCGGGGCCGGCTCTGCGCCCGCGGCTCTCGCTCCCGGCCCGGGCTCCTGGCGGCTGCGGCGGCGGCTGTTACTACAGGAAGGAGCAGAGAGCAGCGATTTCCTCCTCAAAGGTCAGCTGCCTCCGATAGACCATACACAGCGCGCGAGCTCTCGCCAACACCCCTCCCAGCCTCTGTCGCTCCCTCCCCGCCTCCGCCCTCGGTCGCTAGCTCCCCGGCGAGTGCGCAGCGGCGGCCTCGGCCGGCGGGGCCCCGCGCGGTGAGGCGGGGCGGCGCCGCGCGCGCGTGGGGGCTGCCCCGACGGCGGGGTCCCCCGGGAGTCCCAGCCGGCTCTCTCCTGCGGCCCCCGGACTGTGGCGAGCAAGACGTTCAGGAGTGGCGGGGAAAAGGGGTGGGAGGACCGGGAAATCCCGGGCTCTGGAAATCCCAAACCCGGGCCTCAGTTTTCTCATCTGCAAAAAGGGAGGGTTGGACTAGCTGGAGATGCCTTGCAGCTCTTGCATGTGTCATCTTTCAAGTCCCTCGACTAAAAAAAGTAAATGAGTGTGCGTGTGTTTATGTGGGCTGGGGACACAGCTCTTGTGACTTCAGAGGCAAAGCCCTAGGAAGGGGAAAGACTGGGGATTCCAGCGAAGCCAGCCCGCTCACGCCACGGCCCCAGCTCCCCTCCTTCCCCTACTCCCACCTCGGCGCCCTCGTCTTCTGCAGCTGAAACAGGAAAGAACCTTGGCAGTCACATGTTCGAACCCTCCCCCCGCCCCAGATCGTGCAGATAAGAAATGGGAGTCCAGAGAGGGAAAGGGGCTTGCCCCGTGTGATACAATGGGCACATGGTCTCCTTGGCAACTGATTCGTAAATGATTCTTCCCCTCCCCTCACCCCAGCCCCGTCAAACCCGAAGCTGGCCCTACCTTCAGAAAGGTCCGGGGGAGGGTTGTCCTGTGCCCTGGCAAGCTCACGGCTGCCCATAGGCTTTGCCGGACCAGGGAGCAACCTCCCTAAGCTTTGCCTAGGTCACAGCCCCTCCCTGAGAGCCCCCTTGGGGGGTGTGCAAAGTTGGGCAAGGCTAGACTGGAAGTCTTCCATCCCCTTTGCCCAGCTTCCCTCTCCTCTGGGCCTCCTTATGCCTGGCAGCTGGTGTTGGCAGCGCCAAGGGAGGGGCCCGGGCTGGCTGCCCTCCTGCGGCCCAGCTGGGCCAAGGCTTCTGTCCTGGGGGGGGGTCATTCTCTCCCCGGATCGGGCCCTAATGCCTTTGTAGACCTGCCCTTTCCCCTCCATTCCCTTCCCCCCTCCACTTCCCTCCTTTCCTGCCCCCCTCCCCCCACTTTCATTCTTTTTACTTCAGAGGAAAACAAGTCGGGAGCTGCAGGAGCTGGGCTGCCTGGGTCCCATACACACCCCCACGTGTGGCCGCGGCCTCGGTCGACGGGATCACAAGGGAAGAAAGGGAGAACTGTTGAGGGGTTCGAGAAGGACCGAGGCAACCTTGCTCTTTAGATGCTCCACAGGGGAGCCCTGGGAAGGAGAAGGTGCAAAACCTCCCCCCCACAATGGGCTCAGCAGGGGAGGCTCAGACGCCCCCAGCTGGGGGGCACCCGCAAGGAGAGGAGGCTAGTGTCAGAGCTGGAAACAACTGTAAGGAAGATTTTACAAGTGGGGAAACAGGCTGGAGAGGGGAGGTGACCTGGCCAGTGTCACGCCGCCCGGCAGGGGCAGATCCGAACCCAGGGCCACGTGCAGGGTGGGCCCAGCCCCGCACCTGCGCCCTCCAGACTCTCGCTTTGAGCAGTGGGCCAGTCCACCAGTGGGAGCAGATTCCTTAGGTTTCCAAGTCCCCCCCCCCCGCCCCCGAGTTGCCTCTGGAGGGCAGAAGACCATCCTTGCCACACACCCCAACCGGGGCATCTGCAGAGTAGGAGCAGCTCCAGAGTGGGAGCCCCCACTGCCTCCTTCCCGGCAGCCCCCTCTCCAGCCTCCTCCCCAGGGCCAGCCCCACCCACAGAACATCTGGCTGGGTTGGGCTGAGCTGGGTTAGGGGGTGGGTAGTCCTGGGTTCAAACAAGCCGGCACTGAGGTGCCAGGGGACGAAGTGGGAGAGGTTGGGCCGAAAGGATGTGCCCAGCGCCTGCAGAGCCCCCCTGGGCCCCCTCCCCCACTCTGGGTCCGGCTGTCTCCCTGGCCAAGCTCCGGTTGTCCTGACGCGGCCTCTCTGACTGCGAGGCTCTGAATCACAGAGTTCCTCGCTGCACGTTTCCTCCTCCTGCCCTTTGATTCTTCTTCTCCTTTTGAGTCGCTCTCGAGGTCTCTGTCTTGTTCTCTGTGTGCCTCTGTCTGGGTTTCTCTCCGTTTCTTTGTGCCTCTGTTCTCCCTCAGAGACGCAGTGGGAAGGGGAGGAGCTTTGGCGCTTTCCCAGGATGGGCAAAGGCCGCCCAAGGGAGTGGGAGAGGGAAGGGGGTCAGAGTTGGGCTGGGGGCAGAGGTGACTGTGGCACAGCTCCGGGTAACACAACTACCCAGAAATGTCAAATCTGGTGTTTCTTTTTGCTCCAGTCCCCTGGCTTGGATCTCTGCTATTTCTCACCACAAAGCACCCTGGTGGTTTGAGGGGCCCAGACTGTAGAGGAGAGAAGCTGAGGCCTACGGGGGGGGTTGGGTTCAGGAAGATCAGAAACTGCCTAGGATCTGGACTGAACTGGGGTCCCAGAGTGGCTTCCTCTAATTGCCCCTCATCCCGATTCCAAGTCGCAGCATGACCTGGGGCGTGAGGAAGGATTAAAAAAAAATCTTACGAGCCCTGGCTGGCATAGCTCAGTGGATTGAGTGCGGGCTGCGAACCAAAGCGTCGCAGGTTCGATTCCCAGTCAGGGCACATGCCTGGGTTGCAGGCCATGACCCCCAGCAACCGCACATTGATGTTTCTCTCTCTCTCTCTTTCTCCTTCCCTTCCCTCCCTAAAAATAAATAAATAAAATCTTTAAAAAAAATCTTACAGATAAAAAAAAAATGTCAAAGTCGTTTTCAAAAATCTTGTGGGAATGTCCTCCCTCCAAGAAGACCGGCCGTATGTTGTCAGGAATAACAGTGGTTCCCGGCCTGACCTGTCCTTGGCACAGCGGGCGCTTATCCTGAGTGGGGTCACGGCGCATCCGTGTACAAATGTATTTGCATTCTTCGACACCACTCGTCCCTGTGACAGCCGCGAAGGTAGGCGGAACCAGCACCATCCCCTAAATTGGTTCAGGAAAGACACCTGTCCCCAGCCGTCCGGCCAGTAGGTGCCCAGCTGGCTCCGGGACCCACGTTGCCTGGCCCCACGGGAGGGGTTCCCAGCACCCGTCTGCAGAGTGGAGGGGTCCCCTCGGACTGGGCCACCCGACGGCCGTTCTGTGTCGCTTCCTGTGGCACGTCCACCTCCAGGCCCGTCCGGGCCCCTGCTCTGTGGAATGAGCCAGTACGACCTGCGTGCCGGTGTGCGCTGGGGAAGGAAGGGAAGAATTTGCCCACGTCCCAGGTCTGCCCTGGAGACCGGCAGACGAGGCCCCGCTGATGCCACCACCCTGGGAAGAGCAGGTGATGGGCACCTTGACCCACCCCTCCCCGGGGAGGGCCGAGGGACAGGGCACAGAGACGCCTTTGTCTCCTGCGCTGCGAGTCCCTTCTTCAAGGAGCGCTCCTGTGGCGTGGGAGCCGGAGGGGGGGCAGGGTGGAGGCGAAGAGCCTTCCCCAGAAAGCCGGGGGTGTTCCAGGAAGGATCTGTGTGCCCAGCAGAGAGAGGAGAGCTGAAGCCCTCGGGCTCTGAAACGTCCTGCTTCACCCCCGCCCCCAGCCTGGTCTCTGCTGGCACTGCCCACCTCCAGCACTGCTCCAGCTCCCACCCGCAAGGCCCCTGGAAGGGGCCACAGCCCCATCCTCAGCGTGGGCTGAACCCCTGAGGCCAGTGTCCCCGCCTCTCCCTGAGTCTCCTCACCCCGTGCCTCCCGGTGGAAATGCCGCCACCGTCCCTGTCCATGGAGACGGGGCAGGACCAGGGTTGGTGTGTGTGTGTGAGTGAGTGCACATGGCGAGGAGGTCCGTGCGAATTCGGGGCAAGGGCAGGAGCCGCTGGGTCCCGGGGGAGGCCCGTTCCCCCTTCCTGCCTCTGTCCCCTTTCCTCCGCCACTCTTCAGGGAAGTCGGTTTACAGCGAAGTCCCCAGGAGAGCACAAGGCCATCCCGCCCGAGGCACAGCAACTGTCCTCCGGTTCTGGGAACACAGTGAAAGGAGGGGTGTGGGGTGGACGGGTGGGTGGGAGGGGAAGTCCTGCCTTCCTCTGCCCCGTGGGCCTGACCACCTGCCTCGGGAGAGGTGCTGGCAGGACCTGCGGAGAGGTGGGGGCGGCGTGCGGCCTCTGGACCCAGCGCCCAGTTCCTGGCCGGGCGGGGGCTCGGGGAGCAGCCTCGCGGGCCTGAGGAGGCCCGGGCCTGATCTTGCTCCCACCCTCATCCACAATGACCACCTGAGCTAGTCTCTCCTCCTTCCAGCCGAACAGGACAGCTTTTGTGGCCCCACTGGCCCGGCGTCCAACCTCAAGCCCTCCGGGGGTTGTGCGGCAGAGGGCTGCGCACCTCCTCCCCTGCCGTCCCCACCACTGTGCCACTTTCCTTTGTCACGCCTGGGGGGCAGGATTCCTTTCTCCTGGCCTCCGTGTCTTACTGTTCCCTGGTGTCTCCCTGCACACACCCACCCACACTTTCCCTGCCCTCTCCCCGACTCCAAACCTCAACACTAGGCTCCCCAGCCCCGGGAGCAAGTGGAGGAGAACGGGCCAATGCCCAGTCCCCCCTCACTGGCTACTGGCCTGGTGTTCCTTGGCTGCTGCCAACCACTCCCCCCATCCTGTCCCCCAAAGCCTGGGCCTTCCGGGCACTCCAGGCTTCAGCCACACAGTTCGCCCTCTCCCCCCTCCCCCGGTGCGCTGGCTTCTCTTCACTCCAAGCCTTGGCGCCCTCCATCCCACCGACCTGGAAGGCCGTTCCCCCCTCAGCCCCCTGGAGACACCTCGTTATCTTTCACAGGGTCCGCCTGGCACAGAGAACACCACAAAGGCCCTGAGGTCCTTCGGACCTGGTGCAAACCCTGGCCCTGCTTCGTGACCCCGGGCACGCAAACCTGCCTCCTCGAGCTGAGCGAGCCCCCCTATAAACGGAGGGGAGCAAGACCGACCCAGTCCCAGGGTTGCTGTGAAGACTCGCTCCAGTGCCTAGCGCGTGGTGGGTGCACAGAGACCTTGGCTGGGAGAGCGAGGCGTTTTCTTCACAGCGTTCCCGTAGCCTCTCGGTTCTACTTGTGTCGTGGGCCTCTTTGTGTGGGTCTAATCAGCAGCCTAAAGGGGCGCGTCCCAGGGCTCGGTTCAGATTAGTAGCTTCAGAGATATTTTTGGTGGGTTAAGGAAGCTCCGTCCAACGGCCCGGGGCTACTGCGGACTCTGATGGTTCAGAGAGTCCCCTGCGCTATGCAGACTCCGTTTCCCTCTCGTCCCTCCTGACCCACAGCACCCAGAAGGCTCTTCCCTCTGCCTTGGCCTCTGCCTGAGCTAGTCCTACTGACCTGCTTTTCTGCACATGGCAACAGCAGCGGCGGCCTCATCTTTGCCTGATGCTGGGCTGACTTTTGAGTTCTTAAACCACCAGGCAAGCCAGCAAGATAGCGGCTGGGGGTGATACCCCGCTGCCTCCTTGGTGCCGGCCCCGCCCTCTCTGGATATCGCCTGGGGACTCAGGGAGACCAGGGCATAGTGACCCTGTCCCAGGAGGTGGGGAGGCGGGGGGGGGGGGCGGGGGGAGGCTGAGGCTTTGCAGGGAGCCACCCCCTTGGCTGTGGCTGGAAGGGAGCCCAGACAGGTAAGGCGTACAGGGACCGGCGGGGGAGCAGCGTGTGAGAATCTCCAGGTGGCTGAGTCCGACGAGAACCTGCACACCTACCGCTCGAATCCTGTCCCCCCACTCCACCCCTGGGTCCGCCCCCTCCAGGCTCAGCAAACCGCGTGGGGGCTGGGCTGAGGTTCAAAAGAGAAAAAAAAATGTTCGTTTATCAAGTACCTCCTGCAAACCACGCACGATGCTTAGTTACTTTCATAATCACTCTCTCTGCTTTTTCCTTTTAAAACATGTTCAGCCTTCTTGATGTTTTACTAGGTAGCACAGCATATGGTGCACAAGTCGAAAGAGTCGGAAGGACAGATGGTAAAAAGTTGGTCTCTCTCCTCTCCTGTCCCCCAGGTTCCCTCTGCGGGGGCAACCGCAGTTGCTCAAGTCTTGTGCGTTCTTCCACAGAGATTCCAGGCATTTGCACGCACATCCTAGACTTCAGCTCCCGGGGCTTACCCCGAGGGACGCTGAGGCCCTCCGAGGAGTGGGGTACTTTGACTGAGATCACACACCTGGTGAGTGGGCAGAGCTGGGATTTGGAACCAGACCTAACTGTAAAACTCAGCTATTTTCACCGCCCACCCTCCGGCAGAAATAAGCCCTGGCACCAACGGCGCGCCTTCTGAACCACCGGTGGCAACAAACCTCCAGTCTGAGGTCCTGGGGACCTGGGTCTCTCCGCCTTCCTGTCTGCTAAGTATCCATTGCCTCCTCCTTGGGGCTCCAGGGGGGCCTGTACCAACCTGAAAGGGAAGAATCATACCCCTATGGAAGAAGGGAAGTTCCTAGGTGTCCTTCCTTGGCTGCCACGTGGCCAGTGGTCCCCCAGGGTCCCCCCGAGTCCTGGGGTCCAGAGAGGTCTGGAGAAGGAAGCTAGATGAGTGTAGGTCTCTGGTGAGAGAGGACTGTGGTTGTGGTTTCAATTACATTTCCAGCAAATGGCTTCGTGACCTCCCTGTGGCTGGGCAGGGCTGGGGAGAACGTGAAGGGGGTGACCTGCTCTCTGTGGCAGCCACATGCTCGTCCACGAGAACTGGGGGGGAGGCTGGAGTCGAATCCTGGTTGGGAGTACATCCGAGTTCTGGACCAGGCTGCCCGCCTGACCCGCAGGCTGTCCCGCGAGCCCCTCTCCCTTCCGGGTCAGGCTGGCGTGGGCTAGGAGACGGTGTGGACTCTGCCCTGTGGACGTCTCTTCCTCTGCAGGTGTATGCCTCTGGGAACTTTCAAAACCATTTTTTGATTTATATTTTTTAAAAAGATGTTATGTGTTTATTTTTTTAGAGAGAGGGGAAGGGAGGGAGAAAGGGAGGGAGAGAAACATCAGTTGCTTCTCACGTGCACCCCAGCCGGGGACCACCAAACCCACAACCCAGGCGTGTGCCCTGACCAGGAATCGAACCGGCGACCTTTTGCTGTGCTGGACAACGCTCAACCAATTGAGTCACACCAATCAGAGTGCCCCTGGGACCTTTCCATGCAGGCTCGCCATAGGATCTTTCTGGATTCCAGCTTCCTGTCCAGTTTCTTTCTTTCCAGGACTCCTTATGTGCAATGTCTCAGTCTGGCGTCCCCTCAGCTGAGGGGATCCTACCCCTGAGGTCTAGGAGAAGAGAAGTTGCCCCTCGTCTGTATCGGCATGTAGGCAGAGACGGGCACTGGGCCTTCTTTCCCGCCTCAGGTTGACAATATCCTTGTTTTGCTGAGGCAGCGACCCAGGACATTCTGTCCCTGCCTGTGCACACAGCCGGCCAGCTCGATCTGGTACCTAGTGGTCAGTCAGATGTGTGCTAGGAGGTGAAGAACAGAGTCTTCCCTGCCCCACCCTCCAGGGCATTCAAACTAGCGCCCCGCGGCACAGCAGCTGAGGCCACTGCACTGAGTCTGAACCCTGACCGGTCCTAGGAAGGGGGGCGCGAATCTTAGCAGGTACTGAGAACAGTCATGATAGTTAACAGCTCCATAGTGCTTTCTAGCACCGGGAGCACCGTACATGCATTAACTCCCCAGAAGGAGATGAGGTAGGTCCCATTACTGTCACCGTATCACAGCGAGGAAATCGAGGCAGGAAACCTGCTCCGGCTCACACTGCGCAGGGAGTTCACAGGGAGCCTGGTTTTGGAGTCTGTGCTCTTGGCTTCTCCACAGTCCTCCCGGTTTCCATTTCTATTCCTAGAGCACAGAGTTTGTTCCTCAAACTTTCACTGGGTGTCTGCTCTGGGCTGGGCACGAGTGGGAATTTTAGAGGGGGGAACGGGACCTTCCGTCTGCTGTCGGGGCTAGAGAAGCATGTAAACAAATTGCCTTTCAACGTGAGAGGTGCCAGAATAGAGGCACGAACGTGTGGTGGGGAACAGGAAGGGCGAGGTTCTTACTGCCTGGAGCCAGTGTCACCGAAGGGCAGGCATCGAGAGCACACGAGGACATTCCAGGCAGAGGGAACAGCATGTGCGCAGGCTTGAAAGCTTACAAGAAAGAAATTCGGTGTGCCCCGGTGTCGAAACCTCATGCACCCTGACTGTCACAGGTGTTGCCAGACAGCTCAGGGCTGGAGCTTCCGTCCAGCTTCCTGCTCAGGCCTGTCCTGCTCCAGCCCCCAAGCTCCCTGCACCTACTCTGTGCAAAGCCCTGTGCCAGGTGTTGGCCCAGAGTGTGGGATAGAAGCAGGAGCCTGGGTCAGGAAGAAGGGCTTTCTGATCAGCTACAGACACAAGGATCTTTGTGGCTGGTGTGATTCTGGAGGTGAAGAGGAGGCTGTTGGGAAGAGCTGCCAATGGAGGATTATGGGAGAACTTGGGGACTTGCTGATCCGGGTCATCCCTGAACAAGCAGATTTTTGGGTTGTAGAGAAGGGACCTCTGTGTGTATGTGTGGGGTCCTTCTCCTCCCTCTGCCCTTGCAGCTGGGGCTCTGCAGCTCTGACATGCCTTGCTATGGTACTGGCCCTTGGAGGGTTGCCAGGGAAACCGTTGGCCAGCTCCAGAGATGTACCCAGAGGAGAGGAGAGTGGGTGACTCAGGCTGTCTTCTCAGACACTGCACCCCCGCCCCATTGCATGGAAAAAGGGTCTCAGAGACCTCTTTCCCCTGCATCCTGCAGCAGTGATGCAGTTTATTCTCCCTTTTTTGGATAGAGCAGGCAGCCCCTCCCACAGCGCTGACTGGTGGGAGCTAGCAAGATTCCTCAGGGAGCGAAACGGTCTCAGACGCCCTTGTCCCCCAGAGATTCCCTCTGGAACAGTGGACCGATCCAGTTGGCCTTGGTGAATGTGAATTGCTGTGTCCATCCAGGCTTTCCGCCATCTGGGTGGTAAGCAGCAGACGCCCTGGCTGAAACTCCCTCCTGGGAGCAAACCCGGGATAATTATTGATGGGACAGTGGCGGACTTCTGACCTCGGCCTGGGAGGGACAGGACCCAGGACGCGGGCCTCAGCCAGGGGGAAGAGAGGTGGGTGGGCGGGCGGCGGAGGGGCGCCAATCCACGCGACACACAGTGACCACAACAGTACGGCCAGAGCCCTGCTAGTGGTGGTCCACACCAAGCAAAGCAGCATGTGCTTGTGGCCGGTGGGACCTGGCTGGGGAGCCAAATGGGGAAGCCACCCTCGCTCGACTACGAGGGGCTGCGCGCGGCGCCGGCTCCCCGGAGCGTGTAGCCGCCCCGGGTGCGCGGAGCGGGATCCCGGTCCCCCCAGGGCGGCCGAGGAGGGGGTGCGAGAGACCGCGGGGCTCGCGAGCGCGCTCCAGGCGGAACCAGGAAGCGGCGCGCGCCGGCGCGGGGCGCGCTCGGGGTGGCGGGCGGCGCGCGCGGCCGGTGTGGGCGCGCGAGCGGCGCGCGCGCCCCCGTGCGCCCCGGCGCTAGGAGAGTCGGCGCCCGGAGCCGTCACCCGGGCGAGGATCCTGCGCAGGCGACTCCGTGCGGCGGCCCGGCCGAGAGAGGGAGCGAGCGAGAGGCGGGCGGGAGGCAGCCGCTGGCGCCCGAGGGGCCGAGCGAGGTAGGAGCTGCGGGGCCGGTCCTAGGCTCGGGGCCCGGGGGAGAGACCGGCGAGTCCTCCCGGGCGGGGCCCCGCGCCCCGGGCGCCGAGACGCCCGGCAGGGCCGCGCGCCGCCATCGCTCCCGGGCAGGGAGGCGGCCGCGGTGGCCCCGCGCTGGGTGCGGGGCGGCGGGGGCGGCGGGGGCGCGGGGGCGCGGGGCCGGGGCGCGCGAGGGGCGGCGTGTGGAGGCCGCGGCGGGCGGAAGGTGTACAGCGGAGGCTGTGCGTGCGCGTGTGTCTGGGGAGGGGGTGTGAGGGACCCCGGCGCACGCCCCTGAGATCCCAGGGGACTGCTGCCTGCCACTCACATTTTCGTGGTGCAGTTCCGAATAGCTCGTACCGCCTTCTTGCCTTTCCTCCTTCCCAAAGAGGTAACTGCGACTCCCGGGGGTGGGGTGAGCCTGGGGGTGCCCGGTGGGGTGGGGGTTATCCGCAAAGCTTCAGGGAACAGTGCCTTATAAGGAGTCAAGGCAACAAATACGAGCATTTCGATCAGACTCTGGGTGCCGGACCCCACGGCCGGACGCGCCAGGCCTGGGCTCGTGCGTGTGGCGGTGGGATGCAGCGTGTTCTTTTTTCCTAGCCCGGGATAAAGTGCGGAAAAGGGCTCCTAGTGCCGGGGTAGCTCTAGAGAGTCGGAGGAGGGGGAGTCGTGTGTCACGAAAGCCGGTCCGAGGCTGGCTGGAGGCATCTGGCAGGACGGAAAGGCGGATCAAAGGGGAAAGAACTTGCGAGGAGCAAGAGGCGGTTGCAAACACTTGTAGCCAGCCAGCAGTGATGGAAAATGCAAAGAAGAAAAACAAGTACCAGCTCTCAGGAAGATGAGATTAATGAAAACCACAAGAATTTTACAGGCAGAAAGAGATAGCAATCCTCTCTTTCCCAAAGAGCCATGCCTAGGTTTTTTGTTTTTGGGGTTTTTTTTTTTTCCTTCGTGTCCCCTGTGACCCTGTCATAGCTTTGTATCAAATGCACAGTGCTAAAAGCAGGTCATAGAAAGTTAGATCCAGGAAGGACCCCAGCGACTGTGCTCCATTCTTGGCTGGTACGAATAAGGAAACTGAGGCCCAGGTAGGTGGAGTAGGGGCCTGCTCAGTTCACAAGAGCTGTGTGGCCGCGCAGCGCCTGAAATGTCGGTGGGAGGGCTCTGAGATAAGTGTGCTTCCCAAAGCACAGTGAAGTAGCAGATCTTTGCTTACATACAGTTTCATGAGCTGTCTCTGGAATGTTTGGGGGGAATACCCTGTGAAAGGCCAGTGTGTCACCAAGGTATTAAACTGATCTTATGTCTTTTTTTTAAGTCTTCAAATGGTGTTTATCGCCCGCTTGAATCTTAGGTTTCCCAAGTGGTTGGATAGCCGCCTAGGCCATAATAAGCTTTCAGCTGTTGAGTGTATTATCTCAAATAATTTTATCATTCAATTAAGATAATAGAACTTGGCCTCCTTCTGCAAGGTTCTCCTGTTCCTGTGCGTGTGTTTATATTGTTTATAGTCATTTGCTATAGTGTTTAGAAGAGGCTGTATTTCATTTGTGTCTTCACATTTTTAAAATTTTACTTTGTTGCACCGTGAGCATTGGATTGATTCTGATCCCCTCAGGTGGATTCCACTGTTTGAAGGTTGATTTTCAAGGCTCCGGTGTTTTTGTTTGTTTTGGTACCAATTCCCCAGCTCACGGTAGATCTCAGCTGTAAGAATTGAGAGTGTACATCGGGAAGGGGCTGCTGGTTTTCAGAAAAGTGTGACCGCCTGACAGTTTGTAATGTCTGTTACGTTTAATGCAAAGATCTTGGGGATCAGGTAAGTGCTATCCAGGAGATCACTTGCTTTCTGTGGCCTTTGGAAGATGAAAATTTCAAGCACCTGGTTGAGACATAAAGGAAGGGATGAAGAGACCTTTCTTTAAAAACATCAGGAAAAAAAAAAAGAGTTGATGTCTATCACCAGCAGTTTGGGGATTGCATAACTCGGTGCCCAAGCCTGCACCAACATCTTCGCCGCACATCCCGCCGCGCACCTTATCCCACCTCCTCTCCGGTTCTTGGCTCCTCCGGGACTCGCGTTTCTGCCAGCAGGATATTCACGTGGATCGTGCTGAGAAACGCGAGGTGGACGCGTTTCTCAAACGGGCACTAGGCACTCTGTGTGGCGGAGGGGAGAACAGTGCTGTCGTTGTTTGGAGCGTTACAACACAAATGTTTTGGTCGGCACTTCCTACTGTGCGCCGACTTCTCATTTCTTCTTCACTTTCTTGCTCTCCATTGGCTTTTGAAAATAGTAATTATATTTGCAAAAAAAAAAACAAACAAACCAACAACCCACATCAAGACTAGTGGCAGATGTCATTTCTGGCTCTTTTGGTACTTAGGTCAGTTTCTTAAAAGTTATATTCAAATTATTTCAAGTTATAGTCAAAATGTTTGGGACTTGTGTTAGGTTTATATTTATGAGTATTTTTGTGGTGGTTCATGTGGCTTATTTTTGTGTAGGTAGGTAATACAGGTAGTCTTAGGAAAGGAAGAAGTTACAAGTAGATAAAGTATATGTTCAACATTGGATTGCAGGTAGAAGGTAGAATTGAAAAAAAAAAGGTTAAGGATTCTAGTGCCCTGCAAACATGTATGTATTCATAAAGTACTCACGGATTTCTGGACCTTCTAATTACCAGTGACCCATTTTTCCTTTCTATAGAGGACAGATTACCACATTATTCCTACAGAAAGAAGCAAAAACCTTCCATTTTATTCATCTGTCTGGGGCATTGGAAACTTATTCTTTTAAAAAGTTATCTGATAATTCCAGGTTACTGAGCTTTTCAGAAAACTATCCTTTTACTACATAATAAAGCATCAAAATAGTTAGACTCTGGAACTTCTTAATAAACGTAACGTGTTGTTAACTCTAAAGTATCACTGTCCCCAGTTTTGTGTGGTGTTCAAAGGAAAAAAACTTTTCTTTAACTCTGAGCTTTGTTAACAGAACTTGTTCTAAAATCAGAAGTATTTTTTTCCCCTGCAATGTTGGAAACAGGAGTTTTATGCTTATTCGTGGGAATAGAAAGTCAAGTTGAACAACCTAGTTTCCATTGATCAGACCGGTTTTTTGTACATTTCAATTGTGAGCATTACAGCTTTAAAAAGTTTTTTTTTAAATTGTATCCACTCTTAATTAGTGGGTCCTTCTTTTAAGTAGAGTATTGATGTTGGAATTTTAAAAAAATTAATGATGATTCTTTACTACCTAAGCCTGTTTGGAGAAGATTTTGTACAGCTAAGCCTATGCTGTTTTTACTAATCACAGAAAGGAATAGTTTACAGCTGCTAGGTTTTTAGTTGACTGAACGAGACCCTCGCTTTCGGTGGTTTCAGAGTTTTAGACGACGTTTTATTACTGTTGTTAGTTTTGGTCCCACCCATGACTTCCTTGGAAGGTATCTTTGAGGTTTGGTTTCCTTTTTTTTTTTTTTAAATGGTAATATTGGGGTGGGGGTGCTTCCTGTTTGTATTTTCAAAATTAGGTCCACGTATTAACCTTCTCGCAGCGTCACACTTGAATTTCAAACAAAGACAAGCATCAGACGCCGTGTGGTTTGTGTTTTACCTGTCGGCCCTGCTTCATGGCAGCCTTATGGAGCTCAGCCTGAACACCCAGTTGGGAAGAGGAGGCAAGTCCTCAATCCTTCCCCAGTTCTCTTTGGGGTCTGGCAGCCTGGGAGGAAATCTTAGCAACAACAAGAGCGTAATTATCACACACACACACACACACACACACACACACACACACAAAGCGGGGGGGGCTGCTGCCATCTGTTTCCTCTCAGGTACCCAGAAAATGCACAGCGCTAAGGTAGAGTCGAACCCAGCATCGGGTGCCCTGGATGCCAGCCTTTAAAGGAGGGTTGCCCCAGGTCTCCATAATCCAGAACCCCAGGGATCCGCAGGGACAATAGCAGCAGTTTTTCTGGCTCCACCCGAAAGCCGCACAGAATGTCATGGAGGACCTATATATGAAAACAAAGAGAAACCTAGGGGACGGTGGGATAGTTTTGGAGAAATCACCCTGAGCTGTGAAACTCTTCCTTCACCTTCCTGAGCAATTCTCACGTGGTCCGCTGCTGCCTGTGTGTGTCCATGTTGGAGGGCGCGTTGAGGGGAAGTACATGCGTGAAAGGAGCGTGTGATAATATTGTTTCAGCAGTTGAAGCAGGGGGTCGTCTCCTGGGCCTTCAGCTAGCTTTATTCTAAGGAGTGGAATAACGAAATAGGCTCTTCATTAAATTGGCATTCAAACATGTTTGCAGCTTAGGGGCCGCTTAGCTCTCCTAAGTTTTGTTTTGGGTCCATTCCTGAAAGCAGCACTGCGTTGGCGTGCACGCAGTGTGGCATCACACGGTTTGCAAGTACGTCGAATGCATCGAGTATCTTGACCCCCCAGTGTCAAGAAAGGAGAGGTTATAGTTTGTCATATACTGGATATTAACCTCTTTGGGTTTATTCAGAACAGTGACATCCATTCCCATGTATTATGATACTGCTAAGATGAAAAAAATAACATGCATTGATGAATAAAGAACATTTATTTGTCTTTGGGAAGCTAACTTGCAAAGTCGACTCCAACGCTCTCTGTCCATTTATTCTTACCTTGCCTTTGGCACTCTGAGGAATCCTTTTGATTTTCCCAGATTTCTATTGTGAAGAGAAATATTTCCAGATTCTCTGCACTGCTAGGTTTTTGAAGTGCTTGTGCTGACTCATTTTTTTAATTGTACTAAGATACAGAGTATGGTTTGAGAGCAGTAATGAGATTCTCAGAAAATATGAAAACTTTCCTTTCTGACTCGTTAGAGAAAGGTTGGGGAAGACAAGGGGAAATACATCAATGAGCTGATCAATTATTGTTATTTGTTGGGATTAATTTGGTGACTGATATTTTCAGTGTCCGTCAGGCTAGTAAAAGTGA